GGGACTTACAGTCCATCACCGATTTTCCAGCCGCAATTAATCGGGTCTGGTGAATCAAGATACTGATCATGGGCGTTAAACCACACACTAGTACCTAAAAAGAAAACAGACTAAAATTAAAATCCCTCGATTCTTTCTATTTTCTTTCTCTTCTTGTTAATTTTATCTGGAAGTGGCGCCGAAGAATGTGTTGATGAAAAAAAATCATTCGCACTGTCCAAAAAATTGCAACACGGGCTACGTCTGCCGTTGTAATGTCCAGTCCAACTTGAAATAAAAATGATATCAGTATAAAAACGGCTAACAGTTCTAATTCACCATGTGTCTTAGAAAGGGGACGCAACAAACCTTGTATAAAGCTGGCACCCACAAACTGTTCAACCAAACGGAGATCCTCGGGGGCTATATCGGGAGTCTTTCCAAGCTGACTGAGGAGTTTACAGTAGTTTTCTTCAATGTACTGCTTCCACCGTCCTGTTTTTGTGGCAGACCCTCATCAAGATTTAGTATCACATTCGGTGATTGATCTAGTGTGATGTGAGCTTTCTACATAGTTCATGAATTGGAATATACTTTCTATCTCGGGAAGTACCACACATCACCCAGCATTCCTTGCATTTCATTCTTTCAAAGTGATAGATGAATAATGGAATCACACTAGTGTCTTTAACAGAAACAACAACAGCCTCTCTTCCGGTTTTTACGCATGGAGTATATTCCAATTCACGAACTATGTAAGAAACTTGCACCACAACAGATAAAAAACCTGATGGCTTTCCACGCAATCACTGGCTGTGATACTACATTCAAGTGTGCGTCAGTCACAAAAACAGAACGGTGGAAGCAAGTACATAGAAGAAAACTACTGTAAACTCCTCAGTCAGCTTGTCAAAACTCCCGATCTAGCCCCCGATGATCTCCGTTTGGTTGAACAGTTTGTGGTGCAAGCTTTATACAAGGTTTGTTGCGTCCCTTTCCTGAGACACATGGTGAATAAGAACTATCAGCCGTTTCGATACTACTACCATTTTTATATTGAGTTGGACCGGACATTACAACGGCAGACGCAGCCCATGTTGCAATTTTTTGGACAGTGCGAATGCTTTTCGACTCTACCACTGATGCCCTCCGTCAACACATTCTCCGGTGCTACTTCCAGGTAAAAGAAAATTGAACAAATCGAAGGATGTTAATGTTTTGTTCAGATACTAGTGTGGATCAAGGCCCATGATCAGTATCCTGATTTATAAGACCCGAATAATTACGGCTGGAAAATTGTTGATGGACGATATGTCCCAATCCTGATGACTTTGCCACCTATTCCCAATTCATTTTCCGAATTTGGAACTCGTGGCTGCAATGGGCTCTCTCAAAATATAAGAAATGAAGGCTTGGACAATGTTCAAATGCTTTTTCGGCTCATAAACTTATTGAGCACCCTCGAAAACGTATGCAAGCATATACATTATGCAACACGTTTTCACAAGTTCTTTGGAATTTTGGTCTATTTCGTCAAAATTTGATCATTCGATGAACTTTCAATGCTCCAAATCATTTTTTGAGTGTCTCATCGTATTTTACACCCCCAAAAACATAGACATCGACACCTCAATCGTATAGCTGACCGAAAGTAGAAAATAATTAGATTTTAGGGGTATTTAGGACGCCATCTTGAATATCTCACTTCCGGTTGGAATTTCGACTTGATAAACGGTATTTTCGGATTCAGCGGGGTCGAAATAGGGGGTTAACGTCATTTATCCAATTGTTACATGAAATGCTTCTAGGATTTGGCTTTTCGCAAAACAAGCCCCGACTATTATACTGGGATTGACTATGCTGGTACCTATGTCAATTAAAGATAAAAAAGGTAGAGGAGCTAAAACAGTGAAGGCATATAATAATAATGATAATAATAATCATTTATTATTTACCATTAACAAAAAATTAATTTCCTATGTGTTCAGGTCTAAACACTTATACAATAATAATGATATGGTAAATAAATGGTGCAATGTTAGGCCAAAGGCCGATTATATTTGCTTATTTATTCGCTTAGCTACCAAATCTATTCATTTAGAATTAGTTAGCGATTCAACAAGTGACGCATCCATTGCTGCTTTCAGACGTTTCACTTCGCGTAGAGGTAAGCCTCTCAATGTCTATTCTGAAAATGGCAGAAACTTCATCGGCGCAAATACAGAATTGAAAGAGCTAGCAATGTTATTAGAGAAACATGAGTCAGGTATCGAAGAAAAACTTTCCAATTCAGGAGTTAATTGGAATTTCATTCCTGCAATTTCACCAAACTTTGGAGGAATTTGGAAAGCTGGGATCAAGTTGGAAAAAGGGCATTTGTGGAGAGTACTGTCGAATGCGCTTTCAATTTTTGGAGAGTTATATACTATTTTAACAGAAATAGGAGCAATATTAAATTCAAGGCCTCTTTCTCCTATCTCCTCTGATCCTGATGACTTTTCTGCTCTGACTCCTTCTCACTTTTCAATCGGAGAATCGATCACTTCCCTGCCAGATCCAGACCTTGGAGAAGTGGCTTTGTCTAGACTGTCCAGATTTCAGTTGTTTCAGCAAATTCAACAACATTTTTGGCTACGGTGGTCCCGTGAATATATTTCGGAACTTCAGTCACGAACTGAATGGAAGGTCAAACAAAAGGACCTTGTAGAGAGAGCGTTAGTAGTGATCAGGGATGATCAGGCGCCGCCTCTCAAATGGAAGTTAGAAAGAATTGTGAAACTGTATCCTGGTCCAGATGGGATTGCGCGAGTTGCAGATCTGAAGAATTGGAGAAGTCGTCCTGAGACTCTTGAGAAGATCCAAGAGTATCGAATGATAATTTTAAAGCCTATGACTTTCAAGGCCAGGGGCATGTTAACGCATTGTATATATGATCAAATGTTACTGCTTGACAATATTTTGTAATATGGTGTCCAAGGATATGAAAAAAAGGAGAAGAATAAATAGATCAATTAAGGAAGAAAGTCATCTAATCATTCATATCCATATCTTCAACGTATCATACTTATTGCAATCAAATCATTCATATACATTCAATCATACTTCGTTCAATAGAACATATCGAACAGTTGGGTATATCAAAAAAATGTATGAGATAAAAGTTATAGAATAGAGGATTAACTCACCCTCAAAATGAAAAAAGGATATCGAAGATCGGATCAAAAGAACCGAGATATCTAGATTGGAAGCGAGCTGGGCAAAGTTGAGCGCGTGTTTCGAGCACTCGGTGTCGCCTAGCGGATGGCAAGTCTTCGCGTGAAATCGGGTGGAATCCTGCGCTGTATTCATCTCCATAGTAAGTAATCGCTTCATTACAAGTAAACTTCACTGGACCTACTAATGTGCACTATTTGTAACATGGATATCATTATCAAAACGAAGGTGATAGTCATTATTAATTGAATTTCACAATATAATGACGAGAAATAGGATATTATTTATCGAATAATTTCATTTTATCACATAGCCTAATTATATCGTGAAATTGAATTCTCAAAAAACAATAATTTATTCATTCATCAATCTTTTATATTCCTCACACATTTTTATGATCTAGAGGGATATTTCCAAAGTTATATTCTGGGAATTGTGTTATTGTTGAATTACGCGGAACTTATAGGCGATGTTATTATTGCCAGATAAGTCTTGACACGTTTAAGCAACTATTTTGTGAAATATTGTTCAGTCTGATTGGTGTTCGACTGATGAGACGCATTCTTATTATCATGCAGGACACAGTAAAACCTCAGAAACGAATTATTTTTTTGTGGAAAGGAAGTGTTTGGTTTCCCATCGTTACAAAAATATTACTATGAAAACACGTAAATCAGACTGAACAATATTGCACAAGAATTACTAAATAGTTGCATAAACTTGTCAAAACTTGTCTGGCAACAATAACATTGCCAATGAGTTCTGCACAATCCAATTATAGCACAATCAATATTATTCCAGGCAGTAGAGTGATTTCTTCTGAGGAAACATGGATCATGCACGGAAAGAGTTGAACATTGACCGTACCTGCATAATTTGTACCAATCGAAAGACTTGGAATCATGGAACACTTTGTTCAATGCTGCGGTACTGAGGAAATTTGAACCCATAATGAAACTGCAAGAGACGTTAACTGACCAAAAAATTCCTGATATTTACCACCATAAAGAATGTCGCAAAAGTTTCGTCCACAAAAAAAATCTTGAAAGAATTGTTCGCGCCGCAGATTGAGGTCCTTCACATGATGACGATAAAGAAGATAATATCAACGAAACTCCATCAACATCATCTATCAGAAGATCGTTGCCTGACCGAAAAAATGCCAGTACTACAGAGCGTGTTTATATGGATATCTGCATTTTTTGTTACAAGACAAGAAAATACTCAAAAAATTCGAAGACAAGGGAGAAATGTGTTTAATTCGTTGATCTCAGAGCGGACAAGACACTTCGGGCTGTAGCAATCGATCGAATGGATGCTTAAATCATAGCAATAACTACACGAGATATTGTCGCTGGTGAGGCTCACTATCATCGTTTCCTGCTACAAGTCATATACATGTAAACGACCAGAGAAGGTACATACTTTCTCAGATCCGTACCCCAAAGAAGAGACTGACACTTTCAGTAGCATGTGTGATTACATTCGAACTGATTTGTTCAGAAAACCACGTTTGATTGCCAGAGCTGAACTGATCGACAAAGTTACCTCACATTTGTCCAGCGTTGGATTCGAAATGAAGGCATCCACTAAAACAAATTTTCAGTATAAATTGGACAAAGAATTTGGTGATCTGTTGAGATGTACCAATGTTAACAACAAGGTGTATATAGCTCCTTCAAATTATACTTTTGAAGCCCTAGCTAGTGACTATATCAATACGAAGAATAAATAAGACGCGTTTGAGCGTGGTCTCGATGTCAGTGAACAGATAGATTGAAGTAGCAGCCGATATCCTTGAGAGTTCGATGAATAGACCCATTTCCTCGGTGGAACCAATTTGGCCACCAAATATCAACAACCTGTCCATTGATGACTTTCAAGGACCGAAGATACTTCTTACTTTCTTTGCCAAGCTCCTAGATAGTACTAGGAATGAAGTAGTGATACGGTATATAGCTCAAGATATACTATATGCAGTATCTTGTGGAGAGTTTCTTACACCAAAACACTTGATTCTTCCTTTGGCTATCAATTTCGTGACAGGCAACGTAGAAGTAATAAAATGGTTGAATCGGCTTGCTCATGGTTGTAGTGTTACCAAGCTGCTTGAAATTGATAACGCATGGTGTATTGAAAAACAAAACCTTTCTTTGGCCTTATCACTTTCTGTTCCTCTGCCAAGTGATGTCCACCAATCCATTCCTACTGTGCTTGCCTTCGACAACATTGACAGGCTTGAAGAAACTCTCAAGGAAAGTGGGACTTCTCACAAAGTTGATGGCATAATAACTCAACCATTCACTGAAAGTTTTATCACTAGATCACAAAATGCTCTCCCTACTTTGGCGCCTATCAATAACGAGATAAGTAGAATAGAAATAGATAATCGACCTTTCCCATGCTACATAGAAAAAACAAGAAATGGGCCTCTACCAATCGAAGTAGCCGATCTTCCTGTTGAGTTAGCATCATCTGTTGATGAAGCAAAACATTAGAACTATGTATGGTTCTTAACAAGACTTGTGGAACCCAAAACACCTGTTGGTGGACTGGATTTAATATACTTACGAGTGATCACCTAAAATTACTCCCAGACAGGTTGAACTATTTGCCAACAATAGACAGCCCCGCCACGGAAAAGGCGACAGTTCTACGAATCCTGAGACGAAGTGAAGGAATAAGAAAATACTTGCAGATAGACTACATAGTAGTTGTTGAGTCTCTGGACACTTTGGTGGAAGACCAAGAGGTAGTTTTTTTTTTTATATTTATTCACGCACCAATAGAGTGAGAAATTCTATTCAGCTACAGTCTATAACTAAGTGAATTACAGCTATGAAGAAGTTGGAAATTGATGAACTATGAACTATGAACTCCGCTGACCTGATCGAAACTACAAAGTACTGAACGTTCTAATTTGGAAAAGTTAATTAATGATAAAAGATCTTGAAATAAACGAGAGTTTAAGTGATGTTAATACATAGACATTCGTACTTCTTGACAATATGAACTCCAAACAGCTTTGTGTTTTTGTCTGGAGCTTTATGATGTGCGGTTATTTGTTTTCTACGTTTTTAGTTGTGAAACGAATATAGGTTGTCTTTGTTTAAAGTCAATCGGTTTCTCCAGTTTTGAACTTCTTTCAGGTGTCCACGTCGGATAGAAGACCCTCGGAGAGGAACGTGGGGCTGACTTACTACACCCCCAAGCAAGGTCGCATTTTGTCGCGGCTTTTGACCCACACCCACCTGCCAGGCTTATCCAGTCTGGACCAAATGCATCTGCTAGCTCTCGCAGACACAGTTTCTACTTGTGATACTGATCTGGCTGAGCATTTCGCCATCGACGCTGCCAAGAGCAGGATGGTCAAGGAGAATCTGGAAGGCCAAAAGAAAGATCTTCTTACTGAACACCTGGACGACTACTGGCTGAGATTCCTGCTAGCCATGAAACATTACGGCTACCTCTTGAGGTAATATTAATAATAATGGACTTGTGTCACAAAAACTTTTTATTTCATAATTCGATAGAACTCACCCAAACTAGCTCACCACCGCAAACCGTTTCTTGCTGTGAGCTCCCTACGTTTTATAAAAAATTATTTAAATCCCCGATGTTCGGACCTCTGAAAACGACGCGATTATGTGACGTCAAAACCCTAATACTGAAACATGACTATTCCAGACAGAGATGAATGATACATGATTTCTGACAAAGCACCAAGATTGGTGAATCGGCAAGTTGATTTTTGGGACAAAGATAATAAGAACAAGAAGAAGATCAATTCTAACCTATATTAATTTTTTGCAAACCGCGAAACTTTCGAATATTGAATTGAAATATTTCGACAAAAGTATTTTAGACGACATAAACAAGCAGATGCAGCTCCATGTGAAACAAAGCAATGTTGCTGCGTTTATGAAATGTATTGGATTATTGTGAAATTGTAATGGTGCAAATGGTTTCGAGATTGAGACATTTCGTTGTCTAGAGATTGTTTATATTCAAATGATTCAACCTACAATCGAAAACTCGAATATATTTTTCTGCAGTAGTGATAGTGCATGGCGAATCTTTCCCATGATGGGAAACTTCCACAGAATTTGCAACCTTCTGTCTATCAATTGTTCACTATTTGGTAATCACGGACTTCGAGACCTAGCCGTAGAATCAGGTGTGATAGCAGAGGGGTTCCATAGATAAAATTCTGGATGGTAAGTACTACAATCGCGCTATTCGCCTACACAAGCTCGTCTATGAGGCCTGCATGAGAGTTTTCTACTCTGGGTCTTTGGAATGACTGGATTCAAATGAGTTCAACTTTTCCCACGTCTCACAATGCTTTACTTCTCTATGCCATGAGACGAACTATGTATCCCATAACTCTATTCTCCAAGATGAACATGTTCAAACCATTCTAGAGTATTTCGACAACTACTTGACACATCTTCGGACAAGTAATGGGGCAATGTCGTCATTTTGGATGAAATACATCGACCTTGTAGAGATTGTTTTAGCTTTTTTTCAAGATAATCGGGAAGAAAATCGGTTCTTGTTTTTAGCAGCAGTTGAAAAAATTGTGCCATGGTGTTTTGCACTGGATAGAGTGAACTACTCACGATATCTATCATACCACTTCCTTGAACTAACTAAACTAGAGAAGGATAACCTTTTTGTTCACCAATACTCTGTAGATGGAGGTTTTTCAGTTCAATTGAGAAGCAAAAATTCCTTTTCTAGAATTCCAGTGAACCAGGCCATCGAAGAAACTGTGAACAAAGATACCCAAACTCCTGGAGGTACTAAGGGTGTCAGTCTGAAAAAGCAAGCAATAGCACGGTATTATGTTGATGCTGAGCATAGAGCTTCTGCACACAGACACACACAAGTCAATGCCACCCTGACCTCAGGAGCCAACGAATAATCAGAGACGAAAAAGACGTGACAGCTCTCGCTGAACTTCTGGCTAACGAGTGCACGAACCCATTCGATACCAACCCTTCAGATATTGTACATTTGTCTACTGGAATATCTGTTGATGCATCAACAGCTTCAGATCTCATCGATTCAGAGACAGAAGGGGAAAAAGCTTATCAAGAGTTCACGTTTCGGCTAGCTAACGAAGAAGGGTTTCATAAACCTATAAAAAAATAGTTCGAAGATAAGTAGAACGTAGAACAAAAAAGAACAAAACAACTGAGGTCGGAAACAAGGAAGTAATACTCCAGTGCGACCGGAATCTATTCAGCAAAATGACATATATTGCGGAAAACCAACAACTTGACATGAAGGAAGTGTTCAAATATCCTCTTGCGCCGTTTCCATACACGCTGGCGAATGTCGATGGGTTTCTAAAGAAAACCTGCAAATCAGTGTTTGCCCATTCCTCAGAAAAATACATCACTCCTGCCAGTCTGCCAGAAAAAAAAACGACCTGCATAATTGATGCAATCGCTGTGCTACAGTCCATATAAGGAAAACAAAAAACGTTTGAGGAATTGTCAACGATTGTTCTTAAGCAATTTTTGAATATGGGTGGGAATTGCTGTAGGGTTGACATAGTATTCGATGTTTACCGAGAGGTTCCGATCAAATCATTGGAGCGAGAAAAAAGAGGAACCGCTGAAGATATCAAATTCAGTGTAATTAAAGGTAACCATAAAGTAGTTTGATGGAGAGAGCTGTTAAAAAACAGTGAAAGCAAAAATGAAATGTTCAAATTCTTTGTAGACAGTTGGAAAGAGGATAAATTCGGAAGCATAATTGGAAACCAAGAAATCTTCGGAACAGTTGGTGAAATGTGCTTTAGGATCACGTCTTTTGAAAGCGAAACTGTTCCTGAGCTTTGAGCACTCAAGAAGAAGCAGATCTCAGAATGATGCTGCATGCAAGAGACGCCGCTTCATCATATGAATCAGTTCTCTGCTTCTCAAACGATACAGATGTATTAGTTTTGGCAGATTGGTTAATGCAGAACCATAAAAAGCAAAAACTTATGTATTGTAAAGAAACATAGAAGTGTTTTAACAGTTAGGTATTCAAGTTTCCCAGATAGTAGCTGCCTTGGGCGAACAGCTTGTTACTGCTCTCATTGGGTATTATTGCTGGTCTGGCTGCGATACAGTGAGTGCTTTTGCTGGTCAGGAGGAAGTTGAAGGATTCAAGCTTTCATGCAAAAAGAAACAAATATTTATCGAAGCGTTCAGCAAATTAGGCAGAGATTGGGTACTGTCTGATGATGTTGATAACATCATTGAAGAATTCGTTTGCCAGTTGTATGCCCCCAAATGCAAGGTGAAACTGTAGATGAGCTGCGCTATCAGATGTTCAGAGAAAAGGAGGGTCGAAATGGAAGCTTCCAAATGCCTCCTTGTGAAGAAACTTTGAGACAACAAAATAAACGTGCCAATTTTCGAGCCGGAAAATGGCTCAGAAGCCTGGAAATCAAACCGCTAATTCCTGATTCTTTTTCTCATGGGTGGGAAAAGGACATATCAGGTAACTCATCTGTCGAGTGGATGGAAGGCTTGCCAGCACCAGAGTGCGTACTCTCCTTTCTGCGGTGCCACTGCAAGAACAACCAGAAACTTGCTCGTGCTTTGCAACTCGAATCCGATGTACCGAGAGCTGTGGGTGCAAGGGATGTACCAAAGAAACATCAGATGTGGAAGAGTGTGATTATAATAACTTTAATAGTGATTCTAGTGAGGAAGATTGAATCCAATTTTTTTTGTGATATTCATGTAAGGCATGCATAAGTCGTTTTCTTATTGTTTGATTGTTTTGTTCAATGTTTTCGATATCTGCCTTAGTTGTTCTACTCCTCTCGTCATTCAATAACCTCACTACATTTAGGTTCATTGACAAGGTGCTGTTCCATACCGAGATATTGAAAGTTGATAGTATATTGCTATTATTGATTATTATTGTTATCCATATTCCAGATAAATTATATCATTATTGTTGATGATAGTTATTAGTTCAGGTGATTGAAAATCATGTGAAAAAAATAATGCACCTTATAAGGTGAAACCATCTAGTGATCGATTGTGAGCTTCCCGCTAGGCAGAAGTGAGCGCTTGGTCAACGCGCTCAACTCTGCTCCGCCCGCTTTCAATCTGGATATTTCGCGTTCTATTGATTCGATCTTCGATTTCTTGCCAATGTTTTGAAGCTAATATATTCCTCTACAACTTTTATTTCGAGTACATTTTCGATATACTCAATCGTTAGTCCAATAAACAACATAACGTAAATTTCAGAAACCTTATTTTCTGTTTTTTTGAATTTTGGCACATAAATATTGATTTTTCAGCCTTGAGTATGAGCAACGAAAATGAAGCTAGTAAAATATCCTATATTTTGAGTGAAAGAAATCCGAATTTGATCCACCACATCCCGAGATAATTGCATTCAAAAATTCACATTCGTCCGCCATTTTGAACGGTTGCCATATCTGAAAGCTACCTCCTCATGATGGCCTCCCCTGACTCTTATGTTCACTATCACCCTATTAGATCAGATAAAATCAGATTTGGAATGGGGCTTTCGGGCTATCTGCCTCCACACTGCGACCTTTTCAGATCTATTGTGTCTGCCCTCAAAACCGATTAGAGTTCTTCGGCTAGCCCCGCCTTCTCTATGAGACTCCATAGGCTAGCTTTCAGATCTCCTGTGTATCTCTGGGATCTTGTTTTTTCCTCACCCAGCGTGAGGAACCTCAGTCTTGACAAGCCCTCACTGTGGCAAAGTATGTGTACTGCTGTTTCTTCCTTTTCTTGACTGAACCTGCACAGCAGTTCTTCAGTCAGACCTATCGTACTCATGTGTTTATTGAGCCTATAATGCCCTGTAAGAAGTTCCACTTGTATTCTAGTTGAACTTCCTTTCTCATTCCTGGCGAGTTGTTCCACCATCCTTGAGATTTGGTTCGCATGATTTAATACTAGTCTTTTGATTAGCTTTCCGAATACCACAAAAGGGTTCTGGGCCATTAAGAGCTTTGTTTCCTCCTGCTCGGGCAAGTGAGTCTTCCTCTTCATTGCCCTCGTATCCTGTATGACCCTAGTAACACGTGGTATGGGTTTTATTCAGTCCCTCCAAATTATAATGACTGATGGGTCTGCCACATGGACTATTTGGGTTTCTTCATCTATGAACTAAACCACTCTACTTTGAGTTCTCAAGGACTATTTCCAGAAATTTGAAATTGATATATTTGTGAAATATTGACGAGTGAGGTGTTTGGAATCAGGATGTCATTCTCGATCGAAATGTGTGAAAATATATGAGTAAAAATATAGAGGAAAGTTGGTGCAATTTCCGGTCAAACCGGTATGGCAAAGCCAATGAATATGTCAAGGAATCTTGATCGACCTATAGAACATAACTCTCAAATTTCATGTTCCTACCTCCAATGATGAAAAAATGAATGGGGTAAGGATATCAAGACTACGAACGATTAGATAACAACTTATATCCCAGAAATATTTAATTTTTCGTAGTTTTTTATATCCTGGATAAGTATTCGTCATCGTATGAAATATTCGTAAATTGGAAACCAACTTATATCCCAACCATATATAAGTTTTTGTAGTTTTCATATCCTGGATTAGCATTCGATATCTTGAAAAAAATGGTGAATTCGACAGGTGGATGACAAGGATTTGTAAACATTCTACACTCGTTTTGTTATTCAATTTTCACCTCCTAATTAGGTCTACATTGTTCACAGTCAATAAAATATTGCTGAATATTGTTAAATCCTTATTGTTAGTGAAATTCAAACAAATGTATGGTATGAGGAGAAATTGTCTCAGCAGTATGGTGAATATAAACATTCGTGATATGGACAATGTTGCCACATATTTACGAGGCTCTTCGATGAAAAATCCACTGAAAAACTAAACATTTTCAAAACTCATGCCGAATACCCAGAATATCCTATATATGTAATTTATCCTTGGGGAGCGCAAAGCATCACTGTTCAAAATATAAAAAAATATACAGAGTGTTTCATTGAAAACAATTGTAGCTCTGAGTCATATCTGAACAGCTTATGTTGAAAATTTCACCACACTTCTGGATTCTACGTGGAAAGAAGTAGAAAGAGACGTTTATCTTTTTTTGATCAATTGGACGATAATTGAGAAATAGAGGGGGTCCCAAAATGCACCATTTTCAATTTCGTTCTTTATCTTGAAAATGGAGCGAGCTATGAACAGTTTGTTTGTGGTTCCGTGAAATTCCCAAAAAAGAAGCCAACATTCGCGGAAACCGAAAATCTTTATCTTTTAAACTGAGTGGCATATTCCGAAAGGATATCGGAAATGGAAAAGCCAGTGAGTATGAACTGTGTTCTACAGATATATTCTTAATCAGTTCTTTATAGCAATTCTTCACAAATTTTATAATGCGAATACATTTCTAATCTGTTCCTATTGATTTGAATGCCTCATTGGAATACCGTGGCATTTGTATGTTCGAAATGAGTTTTGTTGACACATTCAACTCCTTATCGCTATCGCTCATCATTAGAATGAAATGTATTCTCGATTTTTTCCTAGTTACAGTTTTTCGAGCGAATACGTTCATCATCAGGTAACGATAGCAAATCTTGAGGAAAATACTGTGATATTGATGAGTTCAATATGTATCCTGCAGGATCATTCCGGAGTTAGTGATAGAAAATTCGAGGACAAAAGTCTCTATAACTATATTCATGATAGTTTTCAAGAAACATCATTCCATCTCGTGAACCGTGGAAAAATAAATGTGTGATAGAACCTTCAGAGGGATACCATTCAGATAAAACTAAGATATTCCTATACACACCGATATAGAAAAGGTATCAAATTATGCCGGTGATTTTTTCTAATTGAGAATCTTTGGAACATACAATATAAAGCCCTATAAAAGCTGAAAGAAATAGAATAATATCAGATTGAGGTTTCCTATCCAATCCTGTTCTCACTCTTCACATGCTTATATTAGCTGAACAATTCGGAGAAACTATTGTTTGTTTTTTAGTGAATAGGGCTATCCTCCTAACGAAGCATGAGGCCTGCATGAGAGTTTTCTACTCTGGGTCTTTGGAATGACTGGATTCAAATGAGTTCAACTTTTCCCACGTCTCACAATGCTTTACTTCTCTA